GAGCAGATCGAGGCAGGTCCTCATCCCGGGTGAGGGCTATTGCAAACTATGGTAATCATAGAACTAAGACCCCCACCCACCCTATGAAGGACTATTGCCAAAGGTTACTGCGATTGCAGTATCCCAAAGATAAGCTCCATGAAAAGGAAAATTGTTGTGGGGCCCTCCGAACGGCGCAGGGTTCGGAGTTGAGGGCTACAATGTCCATCGTCTGCAAGATCGGAGGACTGAAGTTACACAGTAGGATTGAGTGATAGAGAGAGAGAGAGAGAGAGAGAGAGCGAAGAGAAATGAAACAAAGGTCTAAGAGACAAGAGAACCCCAACAGGTTACAAGCAGTACTCCAGTGGGAAGTCGCAGACAGGCCTAGCGCCTCATACCCTCAAACCCAAACAAGAAGAATAAGAAGTGAGAGAGAGAGAGAGACAGAGAGAGGGACACGGGCTGGGGAAACAGCAAGGATTCAGAAGGCCAAGAAGCCATCTTCCTCTGCAAGGTGACTGCTAACCCCTGCTTTATCTCGACGGGCACAGGGTTTCGAGCCGAAGTGGTATCAAAGCACCCCAAAGCGCTTGCGGCTTGGGGCGCCTCACGGAGGAATGCTCGTCTCCCCTGCAAAAGGCCCGAGACACTCGCCTCTCGCCTCAGCTTCCCGCTTTCGGAACAGCCCAAACTCTCATCGAGGCTAAGAAGAAGGCCGTGCAGGAAGTGGAAGTGCAAATCCATGAGTTGCTGGGCCGCCCTGAAGTTGGCCGTATTTTGACTTTTGCTGGGCTTTCCCTTCAGAAAGAGACTGAAAGTGGCAAGCAGGAATTCTGGCCTATGAAGCGTTTAGCAGTAACTCCAGATACATGCTTAGGCCGGGTGTCGGCCTTTGGGGCTTGACGTGAAGCCCTAAACCCTGGACCCTAAACCCTCTTACTGGAACAGATTGTACCTCGCCTGGCCTGTCCGAGTGTGAGCGATATTGAACCCCCTTACTGTCGCGCTTCACCCAGGTTGGAGGAGGTGGCCTCAAAGGTGGAGCATGGGAGGGATCACTCCGGGGTGTGTTTGCACATCCGTGTCCCCATCCCCAACTCTAAGCCCAAGGCGTTTACAACCCTAAACCTTTGTCATAGTGGGGGGTACGTAAACTCAATAAGGAATAGACTATTCCAACCATGATTGGAATCTGGTGGAGTGTAGAGAGTGTGGCATGGGACACTTCGGAGGTTGGGGTTTGGTTGGTTGGTCGGGTGTCCGATCCTTGCGCCAGGACAGGGTCGAACTCCAACTTGCAGAAAGGCCTGCTTGGTTTCTTTGCCTTTTGGGGGTGGGCTTAGGGTTTGGGTTTGGGCGAAAACCGGAGCGTTTGTTGGGCTATAGGCCTGTAGGGCTCGTCAGGCCTGACAGGTAGGTTCGTTGTTGAGGGTCGGGCCTTGAACCTGATTTAGCCCAGAACCTTGCCGGCCTTGTGCGAGAGTGAGCGATGAAACCTTCTTCAGCCTGAGAACCCTGCTACCCTACTAAGAAGATCCAGCAAACTGTATGAAGCCTTCCTTATTTTCGGTCATTTCACATTTGTTCGGAGGAAGGCGCAAGCGTCGGCGACCTCCGTCGCCGAGATCGCGGAGCTGCAAAAGCAGCGAGGTGCCTTTGAAGTGCGGGGTTGTTCGTATTTCTATTCATGTGTTATTCTTATTCTTATTATCATTAGGCTTATTATAATGAAAAAAACAACTTTGTTATAATTGTCTATTATTGCTATTATTCAAGTTTATTTATTGTTTTTTTGGCCAGGGGGGGGGGGCGGCTGGGGGAAGGTTCTCGGATTTTTCGGGTTTCTAGGGTTTTCAATAAACAATGGTTCTATAGCGGTTTTGGGTAAAGGGTTGTCGGCACCTAGTGACCATGCATCCCCGGCAAATTTCGTTCATTTTTTGGGTTGAGCACGGCACTCGAAACAGAACGACGGATGGTGTCACGTTCGGGAAATGTGGGGAGGCACTCAGCGAGAGGCCCCAAGCCCTTGCTGGGCTTCGGCCTCTTGAGCTCCCCCCCAAACTTTTCTTTCCCCTCAGGCCCCTGTAAAAGCTCCCTGGCTCCCTTTTTGTCTGGCAGTCTCTAAGTGGCTGGGGCCGTAGAACACCCTAAACCCTACACCACCGTAACGCCTCAATGGCCGCAGAGTTGGATGGCCAGGTACTGAGCTGCAGGCGCGGAGCCTGACACGCACGAAGGAGCTTTGGTGCACAGCGCACGAAGAGCCTCAACCCCAAACTCTGGCAAAGAAACCTTGCCTTGCAGTGGGTCCCCCAAGCCTACGCAGGTAAGAGCAACGCTGATTTTCATGCAGTTTAGACCGACGGCGAACAACTAGTCATACTTAGAACTATAAGCGGCCGCAGCCCCAAACCCCAAACCCTAAACCCTAAACCCTAAACCCTGAACCCTAAACCCTAAACCCTAAACCCTAAACCCTAAACCCTAAACCCTAAACCCTAAACCCTTACCAAACCCTAAACCCTATAATTCACAAAAACAGGGGTTCGGGCTCCTCTTGTCGCAAGGAGGCCGAGGCTCTCGCTGAGGCTCTCCGGCAGCTGGGGCTGTTTAGAAGTATAGATTCTTAGGGTTTAGGGTTTGGGGTTTGGGGTTTAGGGTTTAGGGTTTAGGGTTTAGAGTAGACTTTTTGAAGTTTGGGGTTTCGGGTTTAAAACTTGAACAGCGGCTTGGGGCTTCGAAGCTTTCGCCGCTCAGGGCAGCCTGACGTTGAGGCTTTGCGGTTGTATTGCTACAGGTCACCTGACGTGAAGGCAGCCCCCCCCCCCCCCCCCCCCCCCCCCCCGATTGAAGGCCTCCCCCCCTCCTTATTAAAGGGAATCATATTATTTGGGGTCTATCTCAGGGGTCCCTCATATTCGTAAACTCCCCCCCATGTCTTGAAAGGATCCAGCTTGACCAAGCTTGGGCGCCCATGGAGACTCGGAAGAGACTGTAGCTTCTCATATATAGAGCACTGAGGTATGTAGCGAAGACAAGCGCAAGGCCTACCCCTCCTTGAACCCAAAAAAAGGCTGAAATCCCACAACGTTGCCAAGGATACTCTCCCAGGAGAGCTCCTCTGGCCTGGCATCCGATCAGCAGGCCATCGGAATTAAGGGCTCAGAGCTTGGGCAGACACGCTCCAGAGCCAAACGGAAATTTCTTCGAGCTTTGGAGCATGATCCCTTGTCACCTGCTGAGGATGCGTAAGCCCCCTGAATCTGCAAACTCTGAGCAGGCAAAGGCCCCTGAACAACCCTTGAGTCCTAATCTGACCTCTGATTCCTTATGCAGAAAGGCATCCTCGGCATAGAATGTGGTAAGTTGAGGAATAAGAGCCACCCCAAACCATAGATAGAACATGCTTCGGGCATGGCACCCGTAGAAGATGAAGTATTCTATCCATGGGTTCGGCCATGCCCGAGGCGTAGCCGGAATCCACAAGGAAGCCCACAATCGCAATCATGATGGCAAACAACAAATCAAAAGCATCATCGCCAGCACCATGTCGCAAACAACAAAAGTCAGTTCTCGGACGCAAAGTTTGACCCCAAGCCCCACCTCAAGCAGGGAAAGCCACGCAAGCTTGGGTAGGCCACCCTCAGCTTCTTCCAGCTGGGCCAGACGGCTCATCGCGCATGGGAAGGTGTCGACATGCACCGGTCACAGATAAGAGTTTTTTGGGTCTGATATTTAGCCGCAGGGAGTCTTAAAAGCTGCCAAAAACAATCCCAAGCTGTCACCCTAGGTTTGCAGAGACTTCTTCAATTCCGCTGAGAACATGATTCGTAGATACTACTGGAACCCACGCCCCACAACTCTGCCCTCCGACGACCTTGGGTCCCAATATTTGTGCCCAGTGTTTAGGGCAAGCTGAGGTTTTGGGGTGCAATCAAGAATTGTTGTGTGTGTGTGTGGGTGCGCATCCAACCCGGATGAAGCGCAATTTGAGGGGCCAGCTGGTGTGTCATCAGGCAGCCGTGGCACTGACACCGCGCGCGAGATGTTAGCAGATGCCAGCCAAGGCCTGATCAATCACTCGAGGTTGCCGGAGCTTCTTCTATGTTTTCTGCAGATTTCCGCTTATACTGGGTTGAAGAGCATCATAGGGTTGCTTAGGTTCCCTAGTTGCGTTTAAGAGGATCATGTCGAAGAATATGTTCAGTGGAACTTTTTCTAGGAGGGCTGACCAAGGCTCCAGCGCGTAGAGGTTTGGGAGTTTAGAGGTGCCGTCATACACCACACTGATCATTGTTTGGACCATCCCCCCCCCCCCACACCCACCCCGCACCCCCCTTCCGGACATTTAATTTAAACGCAGAAAAGGCGAGGAAGGGTGCCAGGATCTAGACTTTGGAGTGTCAGGGTCATTAGGTTAATGATGTCAATGCTGCCACGAGGTCTCGACAGGGGCCGTGAGAAGGCCATCCCGAAGCCGAACCGAGAGCTGAACCAAAAATCCACCTCTCCCAAATCCAAATGACCGAAGTATCGAAGCTTTTTGGGCGCATCACGGCCGAATGAGGACGAGAATCCGAATCCCCCTGAGTGCCCCTCCAACGGGGCAAAGGCCCTCCTGAAACCCAAGACTCATGAGAAGGCGGCCAGTTTGAAGCAGTGCGGCGGCTGGTGCAAGAGCTGCTTGGGCCTTGGGCTGTGGAGTTGAGGCTCTCAGGGCTTACTGTGCTTAGGACTGAGGCTTTGAGGCTACAGCGCAAGCTTTTCCGATCGCCCCGCCCCCTCTCTCTCCAGGGGCCAAGTTGAAGCGGGGCACGCCATGAGAGTCTTATGACAGTCCTAGGGCTTTTGAAGGGAAAAAGGCCGGGGGTAGTCAAATCGGCATCGCTACTGGCATTCCCTTGGGCCCTTAACCCTAAACTTGTCAGCGACAGAAGCCTTAAACCCAAGGGCCCGGCTCATGCCAAGCCTTTTCTGGCTCGAGCACTTAGTGTGGTGAAGCACGTAGTGGAGCCATGCCATCAAGTGAGGCCGTTTGATGGGAAGGTCACTAGTGAAATCGAAGTTACTTTTTTCGAGATTTCTTTCGAGACGAGGGCATCTATCTCCAACATACCCCAAACCCTGGAGTTTAAGCACGCCCAGTGATGGAGTTTTGGTAACCCTGGTTGCTGTCGGTAGGCAGTTGCCAGGGTGGGTTCTGCCCGGCGCGGGCTTACTTCTTGCAGTACACAGAAGCTGCTTGATTTGTATTCTGAACCCTAGACCCGAAATCCTAACCAGGGCTGGCGATGGGTGAAGCACACGGGCCTGGCGACGCTCTTGGCCTTCGTATCCGGCTATACTGACGTCGCAAGATGGCAATCCGGGAGTTTAGGGTGGGGATTTTGGAAGGCCCGTTGCAATTTTGACGAGAGGTATGGAAAGGGTTCATGATAGCCTTCTCGCTGGGAGATCGTAGCACAGGCAACCTCGGACACAACGCCTTCTCATTGATAGTGCCCCAACAAAGCTGTTTGTGCCAGACCTCATCATGCTTCCGCCAAACTTCTGGCAAGCTGCCTTGCCCGCCCAGGTCGTGAGCATCGTAAGGTACCGTGCCTTTGCCGCCATGCAGACTGGAAATACCATCTGGTTGGGCCGCGTGATTGGCGACGACCTCCCCGACGATTGGAACGCGCCCTTCTACTACGCTGCAATACCGATGTGCTTCGTTGCTGGTGCTGTGCTCCACCAGCTGCTGGAGAAGACCCACTTCCCAAATCGCGGTGCCAGTATCGCAGCAGTCCCGCTTGCCAGCTTGATGATGGTCGGTGAGGCCGTGCCTTGCTTTGAACCATGTGAACTTGGGATGTCCACCCTCATACTAACAATCCTCAATGGGAATTCTAATAGGGGGTACTAGAATCCCTATTCAGGATTCTTAGTAGAAGGAGGAGCATCCCAAATGTGAACCCATGCAACTTGGGGATGGTTCTGACCCTAAACCCGAGAAGCTGAACCCTAAACCCTGAACCCTGAATACACAGAGTCTAGAAGCATCCAGCTCAAGACCGGACGTCCGGTTCCCAGCCCTTTTTGGGTTTAGGGTTTAGGGTTGAGTTGCAGCGTTTGCCAGCAGCCTCCAAAGTCCGTTGCTCAAAAAGGGTTTAGGGTTTAGGGTTTAGGGTTTAGGGTTTAGGGTTTAGGGGGTGTCCTGGCATGAAGCAGCTTCCAGGTTCAAAAGGGTGTAGGGGGTTTCTATGTGACCCTAGTTTGTTGAAACTCCAATGTACTGAAGGCCCCGCAAGGCCCTAGGAAGGACCCACAAGAGCTCAACACAGCTCCACGATCCTAAGCCCTAAGCCCGAAACCTCAAGTTTCTGCCGCCCCGAAGTTAAGCCCTGGACCCAACACAAGCAATAGGGTTTGGGGTTCTTGTTCAGGCTACAAGGATGAGCCCTGAACCCTGAATCTCTCTCTCTCTCTCTCTCTCTCTCTGTAAGGTCTACTTCTTCACGGACTACGACTGGGGGAATGTGTTGCAGCTCGACTGCATCGTTGACCAAAGGCCCAAGCCTTTCTGTTCACAACATTGCTCCGTGAGCTCTAAGCGGAACACCTCTCAGAACGTGAGCTCGCATGCCATCAGCGTTACCCGGCAGTGTGACTTCAGATCGGGGTGGGAGTCGGAGCGTTCCCGAAACTATCATGCGCTTTCCTTTCTGATCTCTTCGAAAAGAGTCGCAACACAACACTGTGGGTTGCAAGATTGGAGGATTAGGTTGACCTGCAATTACAAACCCCTACAGGTGGCAGAGGCCCAGTTACGCGGCGCTTGTCCTGGAGCAGCGCTTACTACTTGTTGTCACTGGTACCCTGACCGCCTGGGCCCTCACCTAAAGTTACATGTGTTGCTGAACCCGCAACCTGCAATGTTTCTTCAGGCGATGGACAGTGGTTGCCATCGCGCCACTCTTTGGCGTGCTTGCGTCCGCCTGCAGTGATGCGGCCGCAAGCATCCCTCAGATTGATGGCTAAGTGCTTGGACCCTCAAGGTATTTGGCTCAGCAGAAATTTTGAGGGATACTCCAAACGCTCCATAGAGCACCCCGTCACAAGCGATCCATTCATTCAGCCTCCTCAAACCCAACAATTTAACAATCTTCCGGGGGTGGCCAAAGGACCTGCAGAGCGGGCTTCGGACGTTGGTTCAAGTTTTTGGGTTCGAGGATTCAAAGAAGGGTTGCACATATCTCATTCGCCTTGAGCTAGGATAATGTATCAATGCTGAGTTGATGTGCATGCTCAAGAAGCTACCGCAGCACAGGTACAAGCGCCAAGCCCTAAGCATTACATGATTTATTTCGTGGACCTCAAGGTGGAATACATGGATTGAGCTGCAAATAAGGCTAATTACGCAGGACTAAAGGAGCCTAAGGGAGGGGGACCATCCATTAGGGGCCCTAACTTGGGTCCTAAGCCCCAAGCCCTAAAGCCGCGTGATCCCTAGACCTCCAGGACCCCTAAATGCTGGAACCGCTTCGGGCTTCTAAAGCTTGACACAACCTGATGCCGTGTTTCCATCAGATGTTCTACAGGCTCCCGCAGGTTTACCGGTCTTTGTATCAGATACTTGGGCCCTTTCTGGGTTGAGCTTTGGGATAATTTTAAATTTCCCTTCTTTCCGTACAAGGGAACCTATGAGCTCTGCCAGCTGGCCTGCCTAAGTGGGAGAAGCTTTCAGGGTTTAGGGTTTTAGGGTTTAGGGTTTAGGGTTTAGGGTTTAGGGTTTAGGGTAGCCTTGGAGCCCAAAACTCTGGCATTGCCTCCCAGACGGGAATCCTCATCAAAGCAGGTAGTGGGCGCTTGGGCACCCACACCACGATGGTTACTGGCCATGTGCTGATCGGACCGCATAAGGAATGCATTTGCCAGAAGTTGCTGAGAATTCTGCAAGGTGAGCACTGGGATGGCATTCAAACCGGGCACTTCTGAAAGAAGAAGTCCTTACAGTCCTGCATTAGCCCTCAGCTTCTTGCTACCCTGCTCGTTGTTGGGAGGGTTTGTAAGGTCTTACATGTGGGGGTAGAGGCTGAAACGGATACAGGCTTAATTACTGTTCATGGACAGGAAAAAGGTCTAGGGCGATATGGGCGGTTATGTTGAGCATGAGACCTCTTGAGCTGTCTACCCTTGCGCACCAAAGTACCAGGCGTAGGCGCGTATAGGGTTCGACAGGGCGCAAGCAGGAGGGTTTGTAGAGCTTGGGGTTGCCAACCGCGGTATGGGCTAAACGATGGCAAGCCCGGGGGGTGGAGGATGACAACGTGTGGACACAAATAACCCAACTGTTGAAAACAAAACGATGCTTTGTATCCCTATAAGTTCCTGAATCTCAAAGCTCCGGAATGACCAACCTACCACTTCCTAATCCCTCAACCCGGATTTCTCTAATCTGTTGCAAAATGGCAGAGGTTGAGCCTGTCAAACCATGTGACCACGCTGCTGCTGAAGAGGTTGGTTTGAGGGATTCGGTTTGAGGAAAGGGGGAGGTGTTGGGGCTGGCAGGCTTCAGGGCTTTGAGGGTTGAAGCTTCGGAGGGCTTTAGGATTACCATTTTGCATCCCACCTTCAAGCGGCCAAAGCAGAGAAGCAAAATTGGAAGTGCAAATACACATGCAGTTCGAGCCATGTCATACGTCCTATCACTAGTTTTCAACACGGTAGCACAAGTTCGTGGCTTCGGGTCTCAAAGCCAAAATCCTCAAGGGCTCCTTGAGACCCATTTTGCCAGTACTTACAGCCAGGTCCCTCCCTGCACAAGATCGTGGGACGCTTGCTTTCATGTTTGGGCTATGGCTTCGGATGTGGGCCACACTATGAGTCTCAGCAGTTGAGGATTTCAGCCGGTATAGGCTTCACTCGCTAGGATGCAAAATGGCTTTATGTGTCCGGGCTTTAGGTTTGGAGGTCTTGGGCTGATGTCTAATATGGGTCCCGAGGTTCAAAGCAGCATTTCATTGTGCCACCCTCTCACGCCATGCTCCCTGCATGCTGTTTCTATGATTGCAATCTGCTCTTCCTGGTTGCCCGTCCGTGCTGACTTCTCTCAGTGGCTTGTACATGTGGGGGCCTTTAACCCTGCAACTTCTATAGCCCCAATATGCGGGGTTACGATAAAATAGGGGGCCCCAGAGATAGAGAGAGACAGCAAGGGCCCATGATAAGATACCACGATGTGATGTAGAAACCCGAGACAGGCACCCCCCGGCAGAGTACATGATGATCTAAACCCCAAGGTAGAAACCCTGGACCCTAAACCCCAAACCCTAAACCTTAAACCCCAAACCCTAGACCCTAAACCCCAAACCCTAAATCGCCCAGAAGTTCCTCCCAAACACGGTCACCGAGGAAGGCTGTGCTGAGCAGCTTATCTCTGTCATTTTGGGACTTGGGACACCAGGGAGTTTAGGGCTTCGGGATTCTTGACTTGCGGTTAAGGCCTATAAAGCCCAAACCTTAAAAAAAAAAAAAAAAAAAAACTAAGCCCTAAAACCTAAACCCTAAGCCCGAAAACTTAAACCCTAGATTCAGCTTTTGGGTCGAGGCTTGGGCGCGGGATGAGCCTTTGAGCTGCAGCAACTTTTCGGGCACCCCGTAGCGCTGGGCGAAACCTTCCCCACTGCCACGCAGTCTAGGGTTTAGGGTTTAGGGCTTAGGGCTTAGGGTTTAGGGTTTAGGGTTTAGGGTTTAGGGTTTAGGATTTAGGGTTTAGGGTTTAGGATTTAGGGTTTAGGGTTTAGGGGCAAATCCCAAGCCCGAATCCGTAAGCCTGGTGGCTCAGTCATCCAATGCGCTGAACTTGTCGTGCAACTATTTCAACCTACAACATGAGCAACCCCCATATAAAATGCAAAAGTATGTACATATATATATGATATACTGATATATATATATATACATAATATATACACACATGTATTCTTTATGTTTATCTTCATATCTATGCATCAAACGATGTAGAAGTTTCTTATGGATATCTGTACTATGTAACCACCCGCGCACCTCACAGGAACACCCTATAAGGCCTTCCGCAAAAACAAGCTCCTGGCTAAAGGCCTGTGTGTCATCCTTGGAACCGTTCTGGGCGCTTTGCTGGGTTCTTACTTCGTGCACCGCTACAACGTGCGGTACCTGCTGTTCCCGGTCGCCGGGCTCTGGTGGTTGTTCGATTCAGGTGTTTTTTTGGTGTAGGTTCCATGACCCGGGGCATCATTTTGTAGGATGGTTGGGTGTGCATGCCATCAAGGTGTTCCAGCAGTTTTTAATTCCTTGCCTGCGTGTAGGGTGCACCGATCATCGTTCAACCATATGCTTATGATTCACCAAGAGTTGCAGAATGCTATCCAGGCACTACCATAGTGAGATTTACTGGTTAAATAACAGGATCGAGTCACCGACGTGACGAGATCTCAATGTCCTGAAGGCAACAAGGTATTGTATGTAATGTAGCGTAGCGCATCGTAATGAAACATAGCGCGTGTGTCTAGAATTTGTCTGCACGCACACATACATGCATATATATATATATATATATATGTGTATATATATATATACATATATAAGGGAGAAATGTCAAGGTCACTCTGGGAGAAGCTTTAACTCTGAGCCAGCGCAACCCGGGATCCTACGGGCCTAAGTCCGCCTACTTTCTTAGTAGTATACCTACCTGAACACGTCTTGGGGCTCAAAGGGGGTTAGGGGGGGGGGGAAGGGGGGGGGGTAGCGTGGGGTGTCAGGATACCTGATTCAAGAATGAGCCAAGGTTCCCCCACTGCTGTATTGCCTGCTGTGGCTGCACGACCACCTGGCGAAGCCGAGGGCAATAATCAAGAAGGCCGGTCAGAACTCACAACTCGTATTCTTTCGCTCCCCCCCACCCTGCTTAAGCACTACATGGTCCTCTTCGAAATCCGAGGTTGCGAGGTTCGGGAACACACCGGGTACGGAGCTTGGGGATGGGTTTGTTGGGTTTGCGGCTCCAGGGTCTACACTCACGAAAGACGGTGTGCCTGGCGTAGTGATACTGAGAACCCTCATGCGTCCGCGGTGCAGTGGCATTTGGGTAGGCTTGGTGCGTAGACCTGATCAACGCTAAACCCGAGAACCCTAAACCCTAGCGCCCAAAACTCAACAAAAGAAGCCTAGAAAGCCCAAATCCCCAACAGCCCTAGAGCCGTAGTCCCGCAAACCCACGCCAGGTGCGCCGTCACATCAAGGGACGATACCAGGAGCCACACAGTCCCTTGGGTGCTTATCTTTGTTTCTGTTGAGAAGGTGGAGTCGCAAATTTCTGCGGAAGGCTCGCGGAAGCAATGCGGAAGGGTCCGTGGAAGGGCTAGAATGTCCATCGATTCTTGCCTGAGAGAAGAAAAGCACCGCTCAGTCAAGGCGTGTAAGACAGTTTCAAAGATGACCTACGCACCCAGGTCCAGGCTTGGGTTCTGGCGAGGACTGCGGAACAAGCCTCAGAAGCCTTCTCGGTTGCAGGTTCAAAGAAGGGTCTTGAGGATAAAGTATAGACAAAAATATGGTATAGAATTCAGATATTGCAGTGCAGCCCAACCCTGCGCCGGGTGGACATGAGTCCTTTGCATTCTGATGGATGGTAGTCTACTAACCCAGCGTGCCGGACTGCACCAAACTACTCCATACGAGAGTGTGCTACATGATGTCGTTCCATGGCATATTCTACTTTTACAATGCCATGAATGCTACCCTCGACTATGTGCTTTTACTTTTACTCTGGTGCTCATTGCTGTGCTAGAGCGTCTGTGCTGTAAAGAGGATCCATCCCCCTTGCCGTCACCGGTCTCCCGTGCCGACTCTGATGAGGAAAGCTTCGATAGCGAGAGCTACGCCGGTTCGTAGAGTCGTAGAGTTTTCGCTTCAGGGTGTACAGCTTAGGCCTGGGGGTCATAATCCCTAAACCCGAAGCCCCAAAAGGGATCAAGCAATGGCCCCGTGGATCACCTGCTACCGGGAATCCTTGATCTTTGGCACTCCTTTTTCACGGCGTAGCTTGAGTGGTTCAGTTTTGCCGGGCAGATGCACCCATCCCAATTGAATTGGAAGCCAGGTTCCTTCAATAGTTGGTTGCTTTGCGTTTAGACATGTGACGAGTTGTGTCGCAGCAGTTGGAGTAGTTGTAGGAGTTTGGGGCTTCGGGGCTTAAGCAATTGCACTAGAGAAACAGGGATTGGCCATGGCTTGGCTTCTTGGGGTCCTCGTTCCTGGTGCATGCCCACGCTTGGCTCTTCGCAACTGTTTCTTCTGGGGATACCAAGGAGCTCCCTTACTCGGCAGCAGACTAGTGACTAGCCAGTTCTGCGTCGATTTCTTCAGGTCTTTATCCATTAAACAACCTTACACCGCAGTTTGAAGGTCCATGGCTTCAAGGGCCATGTCTTGCCCTTACTCTGGAAGCCCAAACCACAGACCCGAGAACATCATAGCTAGGCAGCCAAGCGTGCAAAGAGCCAGCAATGCTTCGATGTCTAGATTTGCTGACTCAACGTTTTGAAGAGAAGCATGCGTGTGTACTTCTCAAAGGCCATACCCCATTGCAGAATCACGTAAGTAGAAGAATCCTGCAATCCTTCATACAAGGGCCCCTGGTTGAGTTTTGAGACCCTTGAGAACACGAAACCCTACGTCCCTACGCGGGTTTAGGGCTTACAACGTTTGATGTGTTCGGATGCAACACAGGGATGAGACTTTGGGAAGTACCTTTTAGTAGCGGCAACTGTGGCTGCAAGAGCCGCTCTTTCAGTCGGTAACGCTGCCGCCGGGCATGTGGCTTCAGGCTTTATGGGTTGAGGGTTTTGGAGTCAGGGGTTCAGGCTTCCGTGCCTTAGTGGGGTGTAGGGGTTGAGAACAGCAGGGTGTTTTTTTTGGGACTTTCGTCCTTGCTAGCTCCGTGCTGGCAACAAATTCGGATGCATGCTGCGGGCTTGGCCACTCCACGAAGCAGAGTTGTCAAGCCCAATTTAATGTTCGTCCTTGTCTAAACTCTTCGCAGATTGGTTGTGAGCCCGCGTGGCAAGCTCTGGAAAGTTGACGTCGAAAAGCCCTGAACCTCGCAAGTGCCAAATCCTAGGCTTCAAGATCCTAAGCACCCCCCCAAGTTCCGGGCTCTGCCCTGGCCATTTGGGATGCAGGGTTTGGGGCTTCAGGTTTTGGGTCCAACAGGCCTGGATGCAAAAAGGCTTTGGGTTTATAGGTTACAGAGCATGCACCGGCTTGGAGTTCAGTCCCGGGCTCTAAAGGTTTTAGAGGGCGACAATGTCCCCAACCCCCCCCCCCCCTATAGACCCCATCTGCCTAAGCCCCAAAACCCTCATAAGCCCCACAAGAGTCACGACCCATGAGAATGCTTGGACCCAGTGGCCGCTTGGATACCAAGAAAACCCCACAACTCCAAAATGGGCACGCGAGGCTCAGGGAACTTCATGAGAAGCAAGCGCAGGCCCGCCATCTGACATGTGATTATGGTGTTGGGGCTGCGCGGTTTCGAGGCTTTTTGGATGGGTGTTGGGCTTTCTATGGCCCCCATACTGTAAGAATTTCTTCGCATTTTTATTTATACAAAGCCCAAACAATGTTAAACATTTGTTTAAGGGTTCTAAGAGGAGTATAGCTTTGGAAAAGGCGACCTTGGTCTAAGTTTTTGGAGATCCCCCAGGATTTCCGGGGCTGATTCTTTGGCATCGGTCCCTGAGAGCAGGACACGCGCCAAGATGATTGGTGTGGCTCTGACACTTGGTCGCATTGCACCATATCTCTCTCTATATATATATATATACTTATACGCAACAAACACATATGCATATACAAATATGTTCATATGCATATCGATTTTCATGTATTACACCATCCAAAATAGCCGCTCCAACTGAATAGGTCCCCGAATGCAATGGATAACAATATGGAATTCTGTTTCCCTGTTTCCCTGCACCTCTTCTGACGAGTGCCGGGGTTGGGTCTCGCTATTGCTGATGATGACCAGTTCCCGGAACCTTGCCTGCGCGTGCGCTAGTCGTGAGAGTATGGATGAAGCTTGAACATCCCTAAACCCTAAACCCTAAACCTGGGGCCATGCGGCTGAGCAGCGGCTGAGGAGCTCAACTCCTCCTCCCAGCGGCTACACGACAAGGCTGGGGATTCCAAACTTCGGGGGTGTTTAGGGTTTAGGGTTTAGGGTTTAGGGTTTTACGATTCTATTTCAGGCCGGAGCCTCAGCAGACCTGGGTTAAAAAGAGGCTCGTCGGCTGGAGGCATTAACATGGTAGCCAAGCCTGTCGGGCACACTCGGGCGACGAGAGGAAAGCCTCATGCAGAAGGGAAGAGAGAGGTCCGTCGATGGCCGTGGAAGCGTTTACCTCATACTTCAGGAACACTAGGGGCATTCAGGGGACAGGGCTATGTAATGGTTAAGGAAGGGCTGTATACGTGGGTTCCGACTGTGTTCCTGGTTTATCGTGCTGAGAGCACCCCGTGCAACCCGCACAGATCAAGAGCCGCGGCAGCCCCAAGCCTACCACAACCAAGCCCTCAACCAACCAAACGTTGAAGGAGAAAAGCCGTGCTCCCACTCCTAAACCCCTAAAGCCTTGAGAGCCTTGGCAATTGCACTGGAGCCATCACCGAACTGCGATTCAGAGTAGAGGGTTCTCCGTTCTGTCCAGGGTGCAAAAGTCCTTGTCCGCAACCCTGACCCTAAGTGTGTGCGTGTGTGTGTGTGTACATATATATATATATATACATACACCTTGTTTCATGTCTTGATTTTTTGTTGGTCTAAGCGCACAGTAAACCCGGCCCTCAAACCTACTTAATACAGACGGACCCAATACACACGGACCTGGCTTAAGCTGCAGGGTTTTTGCACGGTGGCTGGGCGTCGCCAGGCCGTTGCGATTGAGGAGTTGCAAGCCAGACAAACCGGGGCAGCTTCCGAATACGCGCCTTGGCATCTCTCCGTCCTCCCTGAATCCCAGAGAGCTAGGGGTAGGCTTGCTGCCTGTGTGGGGTGCAAAACGAGCCCGAAACGACCCAGGGCTGCAAACTCCCCGTGCTGCTGTCCTCGGTTACGTACCCTAAACCCTAAACCCTAAACCCTAAACCCTGGGAACAGAGGATTTTTCCCACAACCCTTCCAGGAAACCCTGGCCTCCAACCTCAAGCCTTCGAACCGCGAAAGCACCCACACCAGCCCCCAGCACTATGGACCCTTCGCAAAGCATCCGAGGAAGTTCGGAGCGGCAAACAAGCCTAGAGTCCCCATAGAGCCCTCTTATCTCCATCTCGGGGCTCGGGGCGAAAGCCCTAAAATCCCTAAACCTTCACAAAGAAACAGCTCAGGGGTCGCTGGCTGCGGAGCTCAAGCGGTGCGCGCAAGGGTTTGGGGGAAGCATCCTCGGGTTTTTGAGTGTGTAAAAGGCTTAGGGTTACAGAATTTAAGGGCTTTGGGTTTTTAAGGCAGGCCAGGATTCAAAAGGGCTTTTTTTCTGCAGGGCTTGCGCAACTTGAGTCCATCGGACAAAGATGCAGGGGGTTTCAAGGGTTTAGACTTCAGAGGGCGTGGATCATATTGGCATTCCTGAATGCATCGAAGGCATCCCTTTGATGGAGGCCTGTTATCTTCTTGCACTTTGCTGCCCAGACCTTTGATCCGGGGGCCCACGTCCAAGGTCTTCACGTGGTTGGCATGCGAAGGAAAGCCCTAAATCATCCTAAATCCTAAGCCCACGTTGCACACCCGGAACATTCAAGCAAAACATTCCCTCACACCCCGAAGTCCCCCCCCCCCCCCCCACCCTGACTGCTTTGGCAGATTGGGTGTGGCTCTTTCTGCCATCCGCGATGCCGCGGCGGCAGCACAGGCATGACTAATCGGCCCGAAACCCTACTCTTCACTCAGCCATGCAAAGGAAATACAAGCAAAAGCAAGCCCTCAATCGACATCTCAAGGGCGGTACGTCTGAAACCCCGCGACCGTGGCTACTCTAGCCTGGCATCGGCCGTGGCTAATCTGGGCCCAGGGGTTCTTGAGATGTTGTTGCTTTCGGAATGTGTTCGTTGCAGTCCGCTAGAGATTTTCCTGAGTTTAACTCAAAATCGAAAACGCTGTATACCCTGCCCTGGGCTTCCGCGACCGTGTTTACCCTCGTCTTTATTTGCGACTAAGGTTGCAAGGGTACTGCGTTTATGAGCAACATGAAACTCTAGATGGTGGTCTACAGAAATATAGGCAAGTCGCCTTCACTGAGAA